CAGTGGACAGGCAGCACAGCACACTGACAAACAACGTTTGGAGAACCATACAAAAGGTATTTTATGACCTTTGGTCTAATTTTCAGTGGCAGAACTTTTGATAGTCAACCCTAAACCTGCAATAACTTATTTGCAGTAGAAACAGGTTCTGTACACATAATTGAAGGCAAACTGTTGCTTACACATCCAGTAGTTACGGGGCCACATTAGCATTCAGTTAGAGTCGTGTTTATGCACTCTCTTTTAGCTCTGTTTTTGGTCTCTATCAACATCCGAGGGAAATATCTGGCTCTTTAGCTGCTAGATGTTTCACTATGTTCAGAACCAGCTGGTGAATGTACAGCGATGTCCGAGGATCAATGAGGCTTCTGGGTAGGTTTCTGGACATGGGACATTGATAAAGACCACCTGTAACACTTAGACTATTCCAAATCTCAGACAATATCCATTCAGCATCATTAAGATGAACTCTAGTCTGCAACAGCAGTTAAGAAAAAGTGGCATTATATAATGCCACTTTATCTTTCAATTCAAATAGATAAAGGAGGCATTCTGTATTGACTATTTTGAGCTCCTCTTTGCAGCCTTTTAAGATGTAGGGAAAAGATACTTTGTTTTGTTGTAGGATGAAAGATTGAGTTTATCTTTAGGTATCATTCTCTAAATCAGGTCCTGCAGACTGAAGAAGGGCAGAAAGACTCCAACAAAGACAGGACTGCAGTGTCCTTGAAGCAACTTGACAACCAACCTGTTCAAAATGGAAAAAAAAAAAACTTCTTGCTCAATCCATCCCTCTTACCCAACTCAATCACTGTTTGTCTGTATTGCCCTTTTAATATACCTCTTTCATCATTATTTTGCTGCTGCTCTCTTTCTCTCTCTTAACTCATCACCTTCCAATTTATCTTGCTATTCTCTCTTCGTAGGAACCTTTTCTTCAAAAGCACCCCCTCTTCTCAGTTCTCCTCCCTCCCTCCATCGTCCTCCACCACCGATGTTGCAGAGGGAGTAGCAGACAGGGAGGGAGGTTAGTTCTGGAGATTGTGTTGAATAATACATGCCTGTTAGAGCGGAGCCGAGGAGGCTGACATGGATGGAGGAGAGACTATTCGAGCTGGATGTCGAGTTTTGATAGCGTGTGAATATGGAGCATTTATTATGATGAGGTATGAGCAGGCAGGTTAGTTACAGAGTGGACATATGATATTCAATAAATCTATTAGATTCACTCGTGAAAAAGTGAGAAGGGTAGCAGCACATGTTCATTTTTAGATGCACGTGCGTTCCTGTGTGCAAAGGCCACATCCATCAACACGCCAACAGCCATGGTTGTGTTTATGGTCAAAGCTCACTATATGTGGTTGAGGTATTGACACTACTCTAATCTGACATATGAAGAAGCAGAGAAAGAGAGCGTGTGTTTGTGTGTGTGCACTCCTGCAGGTTCAGATCTGACGGATAAGAGGGGTCACTCCTGCCCCGTAGCCCAGTGACCTCATCAGACAATGTTGAATTATGGGTAGTGGCGCTCAGGTCTCACAGCTGTCTGTCTGCTCAGGGTGCAGTGATAGTGAGTCATCTCTCTCACACACACACACACTCACAGAAACTCACACAGCTGCTGGACTGCGGGGTAGCTGACATTTAGCAGTAGAGGAAAAAAGCAGTGAGTGTGAGCTTGAAAAAAAACAAAGGAGCTGCAGCCATGATGGTATCAAACACTCCAACGCATACAAGCACAGCAAGTGGGAGACGTGCTTGTATTTACAGAGTACAAATGGGCACTTGCCAATCAGTCTGCCCTGCAACAAATTGAGTTTTGTTCCATGTTACGATAACATAATCAACTCACTCATCTACAATTGCTAATCTCCACCCACTGTGCCCGTCATGCTTTCCATTCTTGCACGGCCCATATGCAGTTAACAATGATAAAAGACTGAGGCTAAAGCTGCATGCAGGGAAAAAAGTCAATATCCTTACAATTGATGACCCATGTAGAAGACAGCTATTTAGTCCTAGTATACTGTAAGTCTGATAACATGTTTTACTTATCTGTCATTTTATTGTAAAACACCTCTTTTTGTCTGCTTAGCTTTGGCCTACATATGGTTAACATATGTTTGATTTTATTCCTCTGCACACAGAGTGAGCGGAGCATGTTGAATAAATTGTGTAAAATACGCCTTGATGAAGGTCCACAGGGACTGAAATGTTATGATCAATACATTGTGATGCTGAGCCAGAGCAGTGTATGGGATCTTCTTTTCTCAAGACAGAATCATACTTTCCAATGCGCCTGAGACCGTATCTGAGATAGTTGCATGTGAGAATGTCTCCTTTGAAAAAATGTTTCAAGAGGAAAGACTTTCATGCTCTTGGGTAACACTGCTGAAATGAAAACTTCCCCAAATGCAATAGAAAACAGGACAGAGACAATGACCTAATCTCTGATAGCATCCAGGATTGGATTCCACACAGTGAGGAAATACTACACAATGAATGTGCTTCTGCTGAACGTGTTGTTCTTTTCTTTTTGACATAAATTGTAACCCCAGCTAACGTAGTGAGTTTATAATTAGCTCATTGGCCTTAGAAGTAGCCTTACACTCAGTTACCGAACAGTCTTGATGTCTTTATTTGTCTGTGTTTTAATCATGTTTGTTTGTTTTTTTATAAGACAACAACAAAAAAACAAAGATGGCTGCCACAAGCAACAGCACTACTGCAATAGACATATGAAAGCAAGTGGCTGGATTTGATAAAAAATAACTTTGAAATGTTTACCAGTGGGACGCGCTTGTGGCTCAAGCAGCTCCCGTCATAACCGAACTATGCTGGTTTAAGGGCACAGTCTGTCAGTATGAATAAGTGAACGCATACAACACTGCACTGAAACCACACAGATGAAAAAGTGTGGTTGCAGTGCACAAAGACTGATACAGATACACAACGCAGTCGACATAAATAGGTTACTATCTATGGAAAATAACATGTCCATCTTCTGAATATTTGATCAGACACCAGCACAGGCTTAATAATTTAGGCCTTTACATGACTCTCACTGCCTCTCCCTGGGTATTATTGGTGGACGGTTGGGATGCATTTCCCCTTGTGATATTAAAACACCAATATTGCTCCAAGACCCCCTCCAGTCATTGCATCTGTGGAAAATGTCACATGCACATTTCTAATGGCCGTCTAAATCTGACATCATTGTGTTTGACAGACATGTCCTGTGATGTAAGGATGATTTGTAGCTGTAACATTAAAGCAATTACCAGGCAAATTACATGGTCAGGTTGGAGAATAACACAAGCACCATGGGGACTGAGGATGAACCAAAAAGTAATTGCAACAAACAATAAAGTTAACAACCAGGGTGAGGATGGTTACCCCCGTTTGTTCCTCTCTCATGTTGTAAAATGTAAAATAAATCTTTATCATACACCTGCTATTTATTTTGCACAGTCCATTTTTTGCAATAAACTAAATGTTTTTAGATGGATACAAAACTCCCTATATGAATATAAATCACTTATTGACTCAATTTAGATGGATATGACAACAACATAAGATAAATGAACCCAAGAAAAAGTATAAAATACAAAATAAGTACGGTGCAGTTATGCTATATAAAGAACATATGGGGGTAGTGATAATCCTGGTGTTCTGTTCGGATCAGTGTGAATCCCAGGGGGCGGCCTGGAACAATGACTGCCGGTCAACTCGGTGTCTCATCGGTCGAGGGCGACCAGGAAACAAACCGGATGAATAATAGACCGTGACGGCGGTCACATGTCGTGCAGCGGGCTCCTGAATGATTTAAAGCTTTTTACATCATCAGCCTCACCCTCCCTCCCCCCCTCCCCTCGCGCCGTCTCCCGCTGAAGCGCCGCGCAGCCCGGAGATGCTGCTGCTGATGCTGTGCCTGGTGACCGACTGCAGCATCCGACATGGGCATCCTTTAATCCGGCCGTGCCACAGTGAGTGTTTTTCCCTTTACTTTTCTTTTCCTCTCATCCCCTCTTTATATGTCCAACTATAGATGACACCTACACCCCTCACAGTGACTCTCTCCCTCTCTCCTCCTTCTCCCTTTTTTGTATTGTCTTCCTTTGTGCAGTTTTTTTTTTTCCCATCAGCGATGGCGCATAACACGGCGGAAACCGCGCGTCCTCGTAGAGGTGATGTTTGGTGAGTCCGCGGAGTGGACGCAAATGTCGGGAAATGGTCTCTTCCTGTATGCGCAGCACACCTTAACGGTGTGCGTCTCTGCGCGAGAAAGGGAAGGTTAGAGAGAGTTTAGGGCGGGTATCGCTGCTCCCACCGGACTAGAGCTGCAGCAGGCGACGTTTGGAGGGTCGATAAAGAGTGCAGTTAGAGACAGGGGGACTCGGCTGAAAAGAGGGTGGGACGTTTGACTGAGTGTTTTTTGCAGGTGAGAGCATGTGCAGTTATTGCTTATGTGCATTGTGTTAAGGTGTGTCAGAGGGAGAGGGGAGAAACAAAGATGGTGAAACTTATTGTCTTTATGATCTGGAAGGGAGAAGAAGAAAAAGAGATGTTCTATGCTGTGATAGTGGAGAGGTAGTTGTTTTTTGCCGTTCTCCGTCCTTGTGATACTCCAAAGGTGTATAAATGTTCATATGCCTGAAATAAGCTTTTAACAAAGGCTGAATTTGTATCTGAGGTGGAGAAAGAGTTTGAATTAATCCCAGCCTGTCTGCCTCTTTGTTATGGCACACATTGCCATATCTATCCATCTATTGCCCCATGCAAGCAGTGAGACAACATAATGTGCTGCCTGAATGCATGTGTGTGCATCTATGTGAGGACAAGAGCACTCATACACTGAAAGCCTCAAGCTGTGGAACTGGGCTAATCCCTAATGACATGGCCAGCTCTCTCTCTCTCTCTCTCTCTCTCTCTCTCTCTCTCTCTCTCTCTC